GACAACGATAAGGGCAAACATGCGCACATAAATACTTTCTAAAATCCAAAATGCCTACTTTTAGTAGCAATTATCTCCCAGCATTGATGCCTTTGAGCTAGAATATCTTGACGTGCCTTCAAAATATGAGCATGACGAGCCATGACATTGGCATGCTCTTGTTGAGCCACCTGTACCACTCGTGCAGCTTCCACCTCCTCATCATGAATAGCTGCAAGCATTGCATCGTTGGTCTTTAGATCATTGTCCAAACCCCTTAGAACTTCTTGAATTCGATCGCTTTCAGATATCTCACAATCTGAAACCTTAGTCTTTGTAGACTCAATCCAATCCTTGTCAAAACCCAAAAAGAAGCATCCTTTAAATATTCATCTAGCAACCTCTTGTCAGCTTCAGTGACCGTGAAGGGAGTCCTAGTGGTCAGAATGTTCAAGATATCTAGCAATACCCTGTAGGACATGCACAACACTCGAGTGCTTCGATCATTGGTAGAAAGTCGAAGTTGTGGGTGAGTCTCGAGTGCCTTTGCCAATATTGAATGCTCAAAACCCTCTAATTTCATCATATCAACTATTTCTTGCACCTCAGGAACAATTGAAGCCCGATTATTAGTCTTCTCTAGAAAAGAAGGTATCATCTCTGCAGGTGTAGAAAATGGTGACAGTGACAACCTTGAATCCTCAACAATATCTGACTTTGTCCTATCATGACTTTCAACAATTTGGCCTAAAGAAAGCATCCCAATAACAATGAGTGTAATATTTATGCGCGTGTGTGTGTACATTTGAAAAGGGCAATATAGTATAGGACTGAGTAAATAACCTCTAGAATATGATGGCTCCTCTTCCATTTGTGTTAGGTTACTTGGATCAACTCTTAGATCCTCACTTGAGTTTACTAGGTCACTATGGGCTACCACATTTATCTTGAATTCGTTTTGAAATTCACTTGCTTCGTTGATGGCTTCATTGCAAACGCCCTTGAGACTTGTTAGATTACCACCTCCACTTCAGACGATGGCATGATTGCGAAACTTATCAGATTCTTCAACATCATCTGCATACAACGTCGTGAGTTCAATAGTTAGTGATTTAATTTCAACAATATTTTTGTATATTTCTTCCTAAACTAGTGAAGCAATGTTATATATAACAAAAACTATCCAACAATTAGAAGACAACAAAATAAAAATTATGAAGGAACATCACTAAAAGAAGGGAACAAAGAAACTAACGATAAGTGGGCTCAGAGAGAGAAGGTGGAGGAGTTTCATTGAGACTTGTTGAAGCTTTTAATGATATAGGACTCAATGTGAAGATTGCCTTGGAAGTTGGCTCACTCAAAGTACTTGTTGTAGATGGCACAAATGGGTCTCCTATGAAAGTATGTGAATGTATATATATAACACAGTGATCAAATCTAGGGATTAATTTCATTTGCGTAAAGTAACTAGTATCATACCATGAATCGAGGTATCAGGCTGGTTTTTTTGGCGAAGAGCTATTTGCTTTTATATCACCTCGATGACGTCGCGTAGTTATCAAGCTTACTGTGACGCCCAAAATAAACAATCCATATATACAAGACACCACTCCTTCTCCTAAATGTAGGAGTTAGCAAAGGAGCTTTTTTTTTTGTTTTAATATATATAAGACGTCAATTTTAGTTGTTTTCCACATTTTATTATTTTTCTCTCAAACTACCCTTATTAAGTACATTACAATCAATGAGGGTAGTTTCTTATATCAATGATTAAAAAGTCTAATATTTTAAGAAATCAATACACATTTTTTTACATACAGCTAATTTAATTAACTAATTTTCTTTATAAATATATATATGTATATATGAATTATATATCTAGCTTCTACATTAAAAACTGGAGGGAGTAGTATTTTACCTTCTCTTGCCTCTTCCTCATGAGATTGTATGTCATGATCTGTTGTTTCTTCTTGCGATTGTCCTTCCATCATGATTGTTTCTTTTTTTACTTCTTTGTCGACCAAATCATCCTTCATGAAGATTAATAAGAAAGAGGCATAAGTTCAAATATATCTAGTACAAAACTATGTGTCTGTGTTAGAAAGAACATGTCACATTTGAGTATTCTTCATTCTCTGAAATAAATGCAACGGGTGTTGTTTATATTACTTTTCTTAGTTCTGATCGAATCACTTAGATGATAGCTGTTTAAATTTTCTTTTGAATTCGTCCGTGGAGAATAGTTAATTACCACTTTTCTTTATCAATAAATAACCAACATCAAACAAAATGATAAGTTTGGACTTATTTTTGGGCTGCATCGATAGACCATCAAATATATACCTCTGTCAAGTTCAGTGTTCCCATTGTGGATTGTTGTGGATCAATCATGATTGTTTCATTTCTCACTTCTTTGCCCACTAACTCATCCTATATGAAAGATAAATAAAAGGAAAAATTAAGTTCAAACCATCTAGCATGAATAAAAAACACTAGTCTACAGGTACAAGATAATAATCTCACTTCTGAAGATGCTTTTTGTGAGTCAGTTTCGTTTAGAACACTTGAATTTCCTTCTTCTTTGTCATTCTACAAGAAGTGTGAATTAGTTAGCATTTAGGAGTAGCTTTATTTTCTACCTTTGCTAAAAAAAATATTATTTTACAGTGTTTTTTTTTGTATTAATTTGGCCAATGTATACATCAATAAATATAATATAAAACAAAAGGACAAAGAAATCCTAGGTATAAAATTTAATTACTATTAGGCCCTTTTACATATTAATCAGGTATTTATTACTCCCTGCGCGCGGCCCTTTTTGGCTTTTTATGAGCAACTATTAAAAACTTAATGAAGTTAGTTAAAATTGTTTATTTCAAGATTGCTCTCAATAAAAGTCATTAGTTCTTCTTTACCTCTCTGATTAGTGTTCTATATAAAAAGGATGAGTTTAACTTGTAGTGATTTCCTTAATCACCTCAATAGCTATGAAACTAATTAATAAATAAATAAAGTAATTTCCTTGATCACCTCAAATGATAAATTTGTCATATTTGCCTTCTCGAAAATTATGCCCTCTTCAACAATATCCTTTTCTTCTCCCTCAATATACTAACCAACACGACATAGTAAAAAGTTTCAGTTATGAAAGAAAATGTGCATTTCTCTCTATGGGTGCAGTTTTATTTGTTTTTCAAATGTCACATCAAATTCAAATTTTTATGCCAACATTTAGACGAAAAGAAATCATGGTTAGATAACTTTGAAACATAGAATGAAAATGAATTACCGTACTAGAGAATGGTAGCAAATGATAAAAGCATGCAGATATAATCATGTTAGTCACAAGTGAAAATAATAAATGCCATTAACAAAAAGAAAAATATAAGGCAGTGCAATGAGGTACACTCTTGTGAAGTTTGAGGAACCAATTGTGGATTGTTGTGTTTCCAAGGCTTGTCTACCATTTGGATGTGAAGAAAGCTTTTGGTCTGTCTCTTCCCAAACTTCAGAGTCTTGATTTTTTGAGCCATATGAAAGTTGAGAAGTTGTAGTTTCTGCAAGTTGGTTTTTTTAATGTTATTAAAACTCACATAATAATTTTCAATTTGAATGACTCATGCATAAATCTGGGACAATCATGAACGTGTGAGGATTAATTTTCGAGATTTTGATAATAATAAAATTGAATGAAATGTCAACAAAAGAAGACAACAAAGAAACTGATCACCATCATATATAAGGCTTGGGAAGATTAAATGGAAGAGTTTGGTTGAGGCTTGTTGAAGCTTTTTGATGACATATATAGCACTCGGTAGCAAAATTGCCTCCAAAGTTTCAAGCTACCAAGAAATGATTATTACCATAAATAGAGGTTTCAAGCTTCTCCTCTAGTGAAGAGCTGCCATCTTTCATGCCACTTTGGGTATGTCGAGATGTTATCAAGCCGCCTGTAAAGTCTAAAACTAATGAGCAATATTTTCCTACGAAGCAAAGACATCAAAATTTTACCTTCTTTTCCCTCTTCCTCTTCCATTTCATCTTCAAAAATTTTGTCACTTGCAGGAATATAGCCTCTTGTACGAAGAAGAGTGAGGTTGGCATTTATATGAGTTGGCACCTCCTATTAGAAATGGTTGCACAAAAGCCAACATCTTTAAAAGTTATTGATATTGGAAAGAATAATAATTATATCGCATGTAAAGATTCATTCGGTGAAAATATTGCAAAGTTCGTTGTTGATATTGCTTTTCTTGGTCCTAAATCGGTCAATTAATTAATTTTCTGGTTCGTTTTCGTTGAATTAGGACCCTCAAGGACCGTTGAAATATACCACTCTTCTCTTCAAATAAAGCAAAAAGTTTTTTATTCTGAATTTCGGACCCTCTCCTCAATAAAACTAAAACAAATTCTTAAAAATTGTCACCGTTCAAAATTTCAATCAAATGACGTATCAAAAAAATCAATCAAATCATGACGATCTCTCCTTAGGCATTTTGAAAATAATTTCTTATAAACAATTTCATCCTGTCCAAAAGCACGGGATCAGTTTGTGTCAAATCCTTAAGAAATTGGAAGTCACACACACACAGCCAAATATTTTTTATCTGTTAAAACGATAGATTTGCACCTAGTTATCATTTTCTTTGTTTCCATTGACCATTGCTATTAAGAAATATATATTCTTTCTTGTTGATCCTTTATGCTCTGAGCGACAGCTCACTAGAAATGGTGATGATTATAAAGGGATTAGAAAACACAAACAAGTTGTCTTGTGAGTTTTGAATCAGATGATGAAATTGTTGTTTTTGGCATCTCAGAGATAAAATCATCTTCAACCATTTCCTTTGTTGCTTCTTGAATACCCTGACCATTTCACAAAATAAGAAAAAAGAAAAGCTCATTGAATTCGTTAAAAAAGAGTAGTAAAATTGTGTCATTAGAATTCAAAATCATACCTTCGCGAGAGATACTAAACCAATTACGGATCGTTGTGTTGCTTCTCCCATATTTAGATATTAATCGGTACTCCTATGTGAAGAAAGCTTCTCCACTGCTTTTTCTTCGACTTTAGAATCTGCACTTTCTGAAAGTGGGATTTTAATAATATATTATTAAAACTCAGATAATAATTTTCAATTCTAAAGAACTACTTCTGTGGATGCATACCGTAAAGAAAAAAGTGGGGACTCTCAGGATCAATATTCAGTTGATATCTTTTCAAAATTTGAAAATCTATCCCATGGCAGAGACTAATAAGTTTCGGAAGTTCATATAGTCTTATATCATTTAGTCGTGGAAGCACATACTTCATGACCATCTCTTTCATCACACCTCGTCTGATTAGCACATGCTCAAGTTCAAAGGCTCCTCTTATATTCAAATACGATAGGTTTGGAAGAATATCAGAAATTGTGATAGAAAACAGGTACTTCAGTTTGTCACAACGATTATGACTTCTTTTAAGCTGGGAAAGCATTGTTCATGATTCAAATGGTCATCAGCATTTGTTTCATAATCTTCTTCAACAATGTGAACTAACTCTTCACATTCTGATATGTGTAGTTTCATCAACATTGGCAGGCTTTTCACTGTTGATGCAGAGAAGATAACTTTAAGCTTTTTGCATGCAGTAATTCTCAGGTCCTGAAGACTATGAAAGCTGATGATACGCTTAGCCCCCACACACAGATTCACCAACTCACTTAGATCATTTAAGTGCAATAATTGCAGGCTTGATGTCAATGGTTCAAGCACTTCCCTTTTTTTTCTCTATGTCCATATTTCTCAAACAAAACATTTCTTCTACTTTGCAGTCCCAAATCATGAGAGATTCCAAAGTATGGTCGTGCATTTCAATCACCTACGAATTCCAAATCATTAAAAAAGCAAAAAAAAAAAAAAAACTTTATAAGTGGGGCGGTCCAATTTGAACAAAATTATCGTAGAAATTAGGGAGGATGAAACCATCAAATAAAAATGAGTGGGAAAAATAAATTTGAATTTTAGGTGTGGTTTCTATTTTTAAACATGCATCTACAAAAATTACAGAAACCATCTTAAACTTGTGAGGGAAAATTAATATATTCCATACTTTAATAGTGAAAATTATTATTAAAATATAATTTTTCTATTGAGGGGGAAAACTTGGACTAGTAAGGCTAGAGAATTTGAATGGAGTCATACCTTTATTTGCTCTTGTTTTGTATGTGAACAAACCAAAAACTCATTAAAAGGCCTCATTGTGGACTCTGGAAATTGTTTCAAGAAGACGGACTTTAGAGATAACCCTCTCAAATAATAGTTTTCAGGATAAATGCTTACAAGTTGTGGCAGTTCTTGAATAGAAAGATATTCCAAAGCAGGGAAATTGATGCCAGTTTGGATTTTATGATTCTCATGAGTTAAATTGTCTTCATGTTGGCTTCTTCCAAACACATATTTCAACATAGAAGCCCAATAGATCTTCAAAGATTCCAAATGTGAAGGGGATCTAAAAGCATATGATGGGAACAGATATTCCAATGCATTGCAATATGAAACTTCCAAATGTTTCAACTTTGGAAAGTTGGAATTGTTGTTCATGTGAGTTCCAGAATCTCCCTCATCTGCTACAATGCACTTCAGTTGATAGCAACTTTTGATTGTCAAATCTTCTAACATAACTGTTGATGCAATGGATAGAGTTGACACTGATATTAAGTTCTCACAATTCACAAGTTTCATTTCCCTAATGTTTTTCAATGATTGCATCATAAGACTTTCTGCCACATGAAACACAGGAGCTCCATCTGTGGATTCGTGGAATTCCTACATGCCAATAAATCATCAAAATCTCACTATGCAACAATATAATTAAAGAAGAGGTTTTCACCAAATAATATACAACACTAGCTAGATTAACTTGAAATAAAAATTAGCTCAGGTAATGTTTAGATTGATAGATTTAAATTTAAATTTAAAATTTAAAATCTCACATTTAAAATTCATGTATTTAAAATCCTTTGTTTGGATAGTGTAAAAAATTTTAAAGTTAAAGAAAGACAAGTTGAGATTCAATGCAAAAAAGGAAAATTGAAAGTGATGAGCTTATCTCTATTTTTCTTTCGGTGAGAGAGGAGAATGATATATATGAGAGGAGTGACGAGAATAATAGAGGCACTGATAGTGAAAATATGAAGAAAATGAGAGGGTTAAGGTAGTTAGAATTTCAAATTACTAAGGTCTAGATATAATTTAAAATTACAAAAAAGTGATAATAAAACATGGATTTGGATTTGAATTAAATAAAAATTCAAAAACTTTTATGTATCCAAATGAAAGATTTAGTTCAAATCCAAATCATCATCATCAAGATGCACCATTATTTACATTGCAAAAACTTAGCGTAGCAAGAGAGTCATAAATAATTTGATTTTGATCAAACACTCCACTTCTAATTGACATTGCCAAAACAAAACAAATCTACAACGGTAAAAAGAGGGCACCTGTGTAGTTCTCCAATTCACCAAATTATAATTGTTGGCAAAAATGTCATTGAACTTTGATGCATATTCGATAGACAGGGTCTCCAAAGCAGGAAGATCAAAATGCAGCTCATCATCTTGATTCTGATATGGTGAATGTTGCTCCTCATGATACATACCCACAACATATTTTAGTTCAGGAACTTTATTGATACTCAAAGACTTCAATTTTTCAATTCCACAAGATATCACTGATAGAAATAAAAACTCCAACTCCTTGCAATCCTCAATATGCAGATTCTCTAATCTTGGAAAAAAGGAACAATAAGTCTTACCAACTTGATCGTCTCCTTCATGTGTTGTGATGCACTTCAGTTGATGACATCTACTTATTGTCAAATTTTCCAATGAAATTTTCGAGGCCGCAATGGATAGAGTTGACAATGATATTAAGTTCCAACATTCCTCAAGTTCTATTTCCCTAACATTCTTCAATGATTTATCCAAAAGGCTTTGAGCCGCATGAAAAGGACGAACTCTATCTGTGGATGCATCCAATAATTCCTACAAACACAATTCGTTTGAATTCTTATATCTATCACCAACAAGTAAATCATTCTTTTACCAAAGCAAACAATCAGTAAAACTTTAACATCCAATAACACTTAGAGATTTATTTTTTTTTCAATTTTTCTTGTGGCCATTTATTCGATAATATTTTGAAAGAAAATGTACTGCTAATATTAGAGGCTTTTTCAAATATAACCTACGCTATAGGATTAAATTAGGCAAATAGCTCAATATTTATTATATTTTGCATTATGACCTATTTATTATATTTGTCAATAATATACCCCTTGTATATTAATATAAAAAGGCCATATTTCTAAATTTTCAAAAATTTGGTCCCTATTTTCTGGGCACAAAATTTTTTTCAGTCAGTGAGCTAATTTATCCTTAATATTATCCTTTCATATAATAGTGCTAGCTATTCTCTTATTAGTTATTAGTCATATTAGAATGTAGACGTTTCTTGTTCTCTACATCTATTCTTTTGGGAAAATAACAAAAAACATTCATTCTATTGTGACATATGTTATTACTGGCAAGTCTTACTTAAATTACACAGGAAATATATATTATGATCACCAATTAATGTATTTGACAGAATATTTGAATATCTTGAACTATGACCTAACCATATTCTCTCAAAAAATAAAATAATAAATAAGGAATTACGTATGAAGTCAAAGTAACGTTCAAAAGATATGTGGCTTTGAAAAATGAGGCACACTTAACACGGTGAAATGAGAAAACTTGAAAGAAATTAAATAAAGGAAATATAAGATTCTTCACAACAAATGTCGTAGTAGTGGTCAATTGAGTCAGCTCCCAGCTCACAAACTGATGCATTATGCTTGCTTCTATATTACTACTTTTTTCTTTCTATTATAAGAGATATTTCCCTCTGTTAAATCAAATCTATACACGAATAATATGAAAAATCTCAACATATAACAATAAATAAAAGGAAAAACATAACTTTAAATTCCTATATTTTGCTTGAATTTTGTTATAAGTCTCTATATTTTTTTTGGTGTTTTAGGTCTCTATATTTTTATTTTTTGATATTTTAGATCTCTATAAACCGCTCATGAAAAGACCTAGAATACAACAAAAAAAAAGTGCAGGAACCTATGGCAAAACTCGAGTAAAGTGCAAAAATCAAAAATTATGTTTTGTCAAAATAATATATATTAAAAGAATCCAAATTAATTCACTGTTAGCCAATTAATATTCCTCTCCCAAAAAAGATGATGGATAAAATTAAAGAAGAACAAATGATGCTAAGTCAAAAGGGCGTGTTACCTTTGTAGTTGTCCAATTTATTTCCTCTTCATCTGAACAACCCATCGAATTGGTCAAAGATTTAATGCTACATTTCTTCAGAACAAGTTTCTGTAGAGATGACAACTCAAGTTTAGAATTCTCAGCGCAAATGCTATTCATCTTTGGTGCATCTTCGATGGAGAGGGTTTCCAAAGCAGGAAGATCATAGGATGCTTGTTGCTCCTGCGAGTAGTTCCCAACAACACATCGTAGTTTAGGAACTTTCTTGATCATCAAAGACTTCAAATTTTCAAGTCCTCCAGTTATTTTGGATAGAAATAAAAACTCCAACTCCTTGCAATCCTCAATTTTCAGACTATCTAATCTTGGAAAAATGGAACAGTAATTCTTATCAACTTGAGCATCTTCTTCATGTGTTGTGATGCACTTCAGTTTATGACATTCTCTGATAGTCAAATTTTCCAATGAAATTGTTGAGGCCGCAGTGGATAGAGTTGACAGTGATATTAAGTTCCAACATTCCACAAGTTCTATTTCCCTAACATTCTTCAATGATGTCACCAAAAGGCTTTGAGCTGCATGAAAAGGAGGAACTCCATCTGTGGATGCATCTAATAATTCCTACAAACACATAATTCATTCTTCCGTCTATGATCAAGTTAGTTATTAGTTAATCATTCTCATACCAAAACAAACAGTCCGTAAAATTTTGCAAATGGATGTATTGTTCTCCTTCCAATTATTTTCTCTTCATAATTTCCTTTTGAAGAAAGTTTCAAATTTTTTTAATTTATCTTATATTACTTGAGAGTTGTAATATATAATAGTAAGTAAACGATTACAATCTGGCGGAAAAAAGAAAAAAGTAAACAGTTACAAGACTCAAGAAGGTAGTTTAAAGATTTTTAAATTACAAGATTTATAATGGCCAATTACTTTGACATCTGTGTGTGTGTGTCAACATTGATATGTAAAATTCTAAATTATGGAAGAAAAAAATTTGCGGCGATTGATAATGAACTGTTTGGATAATTTAATATACAGAAAATAATATCAAAGCATAACAATAAATAAAAATAATTATGACTTTTCAACCGTTTTGTTCCAAATATTCTTACGAAAAACTAATCAAACCCCTTATGAGTTCTATTGTCCCATTCTATTTAATGCTTTGTTGATAAAATATTGAGGAAAAATAAAAATAATAAATATTTTTAATTTAAATTGATTATTGCCTTTGTAGTTTTCAAATTCAACTGTCCTCCATTTGAAAAAACATTAGTATCTGTAAAAGATTTAAAGTTACATTTCTTAAAATAAAAAAAGAAAGAAATTAAAAAAAAACTCTACAAAGCAGGGAGATCAAATACAACTCATCCATTTACTTCTGAACTAATAAATGACACCATGCAGGTAGTTTTCAACAACATATCAGACTTCTGAATGTATCACACCAATGATTCGCATTTGATGTTTATGAAACTCATCTTTTTTTCTTCAATTATTAACCATGTTTATAAATAATCGATAATTTAGTACTGTTCTATATATTGAACATAATATATACTAGAAACATTGAACAATAATAAGGAAACGAATGTAGCATACCTGTGAGATTGTGTGGGGGACCAATTTCTTGTTAGAATCAGCAAAATTGGTCTCTTCACTTATGGCCTGCAAGTTATTTTGAAAACAGCATGCTTGTACCCAAGAGAAAGCACGTATGGTGGGCTTTCGAATCATTTTCTTTGAATTATTTGTTGAAAGTGTAGGTGATGGATTTTGCAAAGACGAACTCATGTGGTCGTCATCTCTAAAGATGCCTATTAAACTTGGCACACCTGAAATTTTAAGAGCTTTTAGTTCAGGGAATAGTGAGTCAAAACTTCTTTGATCGTTCTCACCATCATCATTAACTGCTTCCCCTCCTGAACTTGAATTCGTTATAATGTATTCCAATGCTTCACAATTTTCAATTACTAACTTTTGCAATTGCAGCAGTGGATGGCTGGAATATTGATGTCAACAATGGACAATTTTTCATTTCCAAGGACTTAAGATAATGTAGCTTTAAGTTGCCGTTATATAATGTGTTCTTCAATTTCTGACACTTCACCAACGTCATAATCTCCAATTGCTCTAAAAGCCAGTTGGCAAAGAACCCCGATATAAATCTTCAACACCCATTTCAAATAAATGTAGTTCAGCCAAATTAGAGAAAGCACTCACATCATAATAATCATTTCCAGTCTCAATTAGACACGCTATATTAGGCCCTGATTTCAAATGAAGAATAATCAAATCATTCATCGCACCTCTCTTGTCTATTGGAACAATATCAGGAATAAGATTCTTCCATCTTGCTTCTACTTGCCCTCCTTTCAAGATAAGAATTTCAGCTCTTCCCACAAGTTGCTTAAATGTTGCATCTGAAACTAAATGTTTTAATTCATCTATTTGAAAGCATCTTGACACGAAACCATGCTTTTCCAAATAATATGAGAGATCAATAAATATACAATATCTATGTAATGTAAGAGGAGATCCATTTTGAGAAATTGCATCTTTTAATTTTCTTCTTGTCACACATATTACCAACAAAAGTTAACTCTTCTAGTTGTGAGCATCTTTCAATCACTTCAAAAGGATTATTCTTTGCAATTTTACATTCTTCTACCTCCAATGATCTCAACCTTTTTAGTTCCAAAATTCACTTGGTAATTTAAAGATTGAACAATTAAGCAACCAAAGAGTCTCAAGATTCAACAAGTTTCCCAAGACAGAGATGTCACCTAACTCCAAACTCACTAAGATGAGTGTTTCAATATCCTTTAATGATTGAAGTGAATGTGTTATTGATAGAGCTGGAATTTTATAACCAGTACTAACAATCATCAATACTTTGAGCCTTGTCATCTCTTTAAAGAATGTAGTTGAGACTTCCAAAACCTTTGAATCATCTAGATATATTAATAGAAACTATAATTTATTTCCATTGAATTCATCAAGAAAATTACCATTTGACCAAAACAAAAATCTCAAGTTCTCTTTTATAGGCATTTTTGAATCTATGATAGATTAAATATCTTTGTCTCCTATCCACAAGGCTACTTCACGAATCAAGTCATGCATCTTTACACTTTCTTGTTCGCCATTCAACAGTAAAGAGGATTATATCAAATCCATTATCATTGCATGCGCTTCATTTCTTTCATGTGGTATTTGTCATTTTCCGCGCAAAAGCCCAATCCTATACCAATTATGGTTAAAAGTTTTGCAGGAATTTTGTCATCTTCTGGAAACAAAGAAGATATCAAAAGGAGTTCTTTTGCATTTTCATTTTTCAAGTTATCATAGCTTAACCTTAGACATTTATAAGCCTTTTCCAAATTTTGATCAACAGCACAATCTTCCAATGTTTTTAGAGCATCCTTCCAAACTGATGTAGATTGATTTTTCAATGTGCTTGCTATTGCTATAATTGCAATTGATACTCCTCCACAATGCTTCACAACTTTTTCCGGCATGCCCTTCAAACCACGAGTGGAATTATTAATATTGGCATGTGTTTTAAAAAGATTCAATGCCTCTTCATAGATCAATGTCTGTAGTTCAATCATTTGGCATCCCATTTCTGTACAAACTCTTAAATTACGTGTGGTTATCAATAAACTAAAGCCTTTATGTTTATGGTCAGATGGAATCCCCAAGTTTTCTATCAAATCAAAATTTTCCCATACATCATCTAGTATTATAAGCAGCTTTTCTTCCATATGAGTGATTCTAGACCATATTGTATTGGAAAGCTCTTCATTCACTCCATCTAACTCCAAATCTAAGCCTTTTGCAAGTTCACCTCGAATCTTTTTCAAATCTGGAGGCTTGGACACCACAAGAAAGATGAATTTGTCAACTAATTTAGATTCTTTTAGTTTGCAACCCACTTCTTTTGCCATTGAAGTTTTTCCTGCTCCGGCCATCCCTTGCAATCCAATCATGTTGCAATTTTCATCTTGTAATGCCTTCATTAAATGTTCGAACTTGGACTTTCTGCTCTCAAAATGAATGAAATCTTGTGAAGAAAATAATTTCATGTCTAATATGTTTGCTCGACTAGCTACTACATTGGAGTGGCATCTTCCCAATAATTCTTCAATCTGCTTAGTCTTCTCTTTTAATTCCTTACCTCTTCAATATTGCCACCAGCAATTAGGACACCATCCAAAAAAGAATTTCTTCTTTATTTTAGTGTCTATATTAATTATACCATCTGCTTCACATTCTCATTGCCGTGCTTAAAACTTAAAATTGAAAACACCTTTGCCTCTATGAAACTTTCTCTTGACATCTTGGTGCTTTGCAACTAGTTTTTCCTTTTTTTTTCAAAATTTTCAACATAATTATTGAAGCAACATAAATATTGAGCTTCATTTTTCACTAGATTCACCAAACTTTGGACTTCATTCTTTGCAAGGTCAAGCAAGTAGCCCTCCATCAAACATATGGATACAAACTAATTATAATCAATATATGACGTCTATCATATTATTGGGATTTTAGTTGTTAACACTACAAAAAAAAACTTTCGGTGGCGAATTTTAGCAGCAACTTTTTGAAAATGAACAATCTACAGTGACAAAAAAAGTCGCCGCTAAAAATTTAACTTTCTACAGCGACATTCAAAGTCACCACTATGAGGGTGACTTTTTGCAACGACAACATATAGTCGCCATTGATTGTCAAACTTTCAACGATGACAAGTGTATGTCGCCATTGAATATCTAAGTTTTAGCAGCAACATAGAAGTCGTCGATAAATGTTAACAATCAGTCGTCGCTGATTGTCAACATATTTTAAAATGTCTTATAATTTCTTAAAAACTAATATTATAATAAATATATTATAAGTTTCAACAGCGACATATAAGTTGTCATTGAAAGTGAGACTTTTAATGGTGATTTTTTTTGTCACATTTTCAATGGCGACATTCAAAGACGCCGTTGAAAGTTTGATTTTATATTTTAACATTATTTTTTATTTTTTTAATCTAATATTTAACTTTTTAAGATATTAATTTTATTGTATTATTGTAATTTTATAATGAATATATAAATAACATAATGAGTTTTCATTTAATATTTTATGGTTGAATTGTAACTTTAAAATAATGAAATTATTTTAAGATAAAGTTAAAGTATTATTTAATGTTAATGAGTCAAAGTAAAGAATTAAGCCAAATCATATTATGTTACATCAATTTTTGTTATCAAGTAATATTTGGTTTGATTCAATACAACTATTTAGGCCAGTTTAGTTAATTGGTTTTAGTTAAATAATATCAAATCTAACTGAATTGACTAATGCATACCCCTATGTGAAGTGATAAATTCATTCAAAAATTTGATGTGTGATTTTTTTAATTTGAAATGCATATAATGTGGTAATGAGTCTCTATTTTCAAATATTTTATGATTAAATTAATGTTTTACACAATAACACTACTTGTTTATAATAATTAGACATGTAATAGTTAAATTTATTCATTCATAGAATGATATTTCATCTAATATAATTTTTAATTCAAATTCTACATTTAATACTAGTAACTTTTGAGCTTGATGCCGATTTAGATGTTCTCAATTTGATGGCTAATGATAGGAAAGAGAAATATAAAAAGAAAAAAATGAGATATTCTAAAATTTCACTTTTAGCTTTTACAATATACGAAATATATCTATGTATGTAATGCTATGTGATTTTTTTTGTTTGATGCTATCTTGCGACATAAATATAAAAAAAAATTAGATAATATAGTATATAATTTTCTTATAAAATTATAATTTAAAAATGAAAACTAATTAAAAAAGTAAAGTGTAATGTAAAAACAACCCAATTACATTACTTAAGAGTTATTGTTAATTAAAAGTAAAAATAAAATTTTAAATAAAACTAGCTAGAAAAATAAATAATTATGAACTAATATATAATCATCTAATTTTTACTATTTATTCTTAGATATTTTTATATTATAATTATAAATATGAACATTAAAATAAATAATATAATAACCTTAAGAAGTAAAAAAAATAAAATAAATAATACAAATGATATTGTATCAACTATATTTATAGTTTACTTTAGACAAAATAAATAATATAATTTGGAATTTGAATAAATTAAAAGAATTAAATTAAAGTATTTAATGATAGAAATGAGATTTTATAATATTTAATATTTAATGTGTGTGTGTGTGTGTGTTTGTATAGTTTAATAATCTATATATATATATATATTTTAATTATGCAGTAATAAATTATAGGTTCATTTCACTTAGTGGCAAAATAATGAGACACAAAAGGAGAAGGTCATAGGTTCAAACTTTGGAGGAGGCAACTTGTAAAATAAAATATAAATTGATGACATGATGACATATGGCGTGAGATAGGGGAGCCACGTGGAGGGTAATATGGTGACACGTGGTGGAAAATAATTCCAACATAGGTTCTCCCCTAAGAGAGCAAAAGATGTATTTACTTATAAAGACCCAAAGGAAATGTCCACATTCTTGGGCAGTAGGGTTAGAACTCCGAATTATAGCTGCCCTAACCAGAGCTTGTGGAAGAGCATTGGATCATCATAGTTGATGTCATATTTGAGAGTAATGAGAGACCATTAATCTCGAGACCGACTAAAAGAAACACATCCCAAAGAGTCACAATCATAGGGCCAAAGGGAAATATGAAGCAAGAGTTCTTTATCCCCTGGTGTCAACGTACGACTTGGGTCAATCAAGTTAACGATGTCTAGCTTCGCCTAACGATTGTAAAAGTATGGACGTAGACGAATATACCTAAGGGAGCTAGTAAATATCTTGATCATTTTTAGGCCAACATTTAGTCTCTTCAGGGATGGAGGTTCGTCTAAGAATTTGGAAAAAAAGGTCTCATCAGGACTGGACAAAGGGAAAGGATAAGCTGCGAGGCTTGGCCGTAAATTAAGACATAGATAAAGGGAACCCCCTGGGTTTGTGGGAGAAAAGGAACGGGGCACAGACCTAAAACACATGAGAAACCAGAGACATGCTTGGCTTTATAATCTACCCAGCAAGTTACCTAAATAAAGAACCCTAGGAGGAGGGTGGGTATTTACTCAAAGTGGATATGAGCGCAGAGAGACCAAAGCGTAGCTGCACCCTAGAAAACAAGTCAATGTGATTAGGTTTAGGTCAAAACCTAAAATAGGCAGGACTCTAAGGCTAACTGGGAGCAGGTTTAGCTTAACTCATTGAAGGAAGCAAAGGAGGAAGATGCCATTATAAGCTGAGAAGAGATGTGAATTTAAACTCACTGAGAAAACCGCCGGAAGACTCAAAGGTAGTAGAGGAGAACAAGTAAAGAGGAAGGCAAGGGAGTCTAAGGGTTTAAATGAGGCTCTACAACCCTAGGTGAACGAAGCACTTAGGGAAATAATGATGGTGCTTCAAGAATTTAATTGTTGAGCATATCCCAGCCTGACACGTGGCCTGTGACACTGATGCGTACGTAGCCATTTCTCTCCTTCAACACCGAAACATCATGTATGGGGGACATTGCTTGAACCAAAATTAGCACTCTCAACCTAAATGAGATAAAACACCAAAGCCTAGATCAATAAAGGAGCGGACTCGGACCATTAGCAAACCAAGCCTCATACACATAAGTGGAACAGTGATTTTCAAGAAGGATTGACGAAGTCATGCCTATTCTAACCACTCCCCAAGATTCCCAGGGCACTCACAACACTCCAACAACGAAGCGTCGCTCAAGAATTCAAAGGTGTGAATAACTACCTACTCTTAAAGGTGCCAAATTTGAATTTAAAAGGAGTGTGCCATTGCCATATTTCTATAAACAAGCAACAAGCACGTAATGGAGGCTCTCTAAACACTCTGCCAAACTTACACCAAAGTTGCCCGGCACAAAAACACTACTCTTGACCTTGCGTCACCTAATCTCGCCCAATGTGACTTACTTTTCCTTTGTAAACTCAGCTCCCCCGACTAGTTTGGCAGTCATATTTGCCTCTCCCTCTTCATGGAGCACATAGTCTTTTTTTTTTTTTAAGTAATGCTATTGACCTTCACACTCAATTACAGTGCACCCTTCACTATCATCGTATGTCACTTGATTCTCTAAAGAAATTGTGATAAAGGACCCTAGAAACACACTAAAATTGTTTGATCACAATTTACTTTTTTGAAGACTCGCTCCTCTAGCACGCCTAGCACGCACCCTAAGAATCGTAATGCTTCAACTCCTTCATCAAAAATTGGGCCAACAAGATGTGTTTTTCTTTTTTCTTTTCTTTTTTTTTTTTTTTTTTTGCTTTGATGAACATACAAAACCGACGAGTCAAAATGTTATTACAGAGGAAGAGCAACATTAGTTGGACTGTTTGCCTTACCCCATTAAGTAATCTTGATTTGACAAGCCTCAGGGCTTTATTTTTAAAATAAAATTTAAAACATTTCATTACCGGATGTTGAATAATTTGTCAAGAAATATATTTAGCAGAAGGGAGAAAGAATTAAAAATACGAAAAAAAAATATAAAAGAGGGACAAAAAATTAAAGCACTATAAACATAATTAGAATGTATTTCTGGTATTAAAAAATAATTGAAATATACTATTCTTACCTTTTTTTTAAATTTTTGTGAAAGACGCACAAAGCTATGAATGAAAATAGAAGTAGAAGAAATAATTCAGAGGAACCTAGAGCAAGCAAGCAAACCTGAAACAAGTCCTGCAACATATATATATATATATATATATATAGAGAGAGAGAGAGAGAGAGGGAAATTTAGTATGAAATTACATTACTGCAAAAATAAGATTTGATAGCATACATTTTATAGCAACTAAAAATGAAACGTCACTAAAATGAAAGCTGAAATAACAACTTTTAAAAAATAACAAGATGCGGCGTTTTCTTGATGAAATGCCACAATTTGTTGCTATT